TACTTTTATTCGGTTTTCTCACTATTGGATGATTCTTGTTGCAAAAAGCCAGCATACCATAATACAAAATTGCAGTTTGCAAAAAGGAGTAAGAAATTAGACAGCCAAATTGCGTAAAAAGTATTTTCGTGACGAAGTAGTCTCGCCGCGTCGATAATCATTTTTTTGCAAAACAAGTCGGGAATCCTGACTCTACCTAACCTTTCCAACCATTGACAATATGCCAAGCAAACACAGAGAAGTCACTGCTTTTGAAAGACGCAATGTGATTTCCCTTTTACCACAAAGAACTTTATGGATCGAGGCTGCATCTGCTGAAAAATTCACAGAACAGGTGCTGTCTATATCTACAATAAGCATTTTAGGCGCTGAAAATTTTTTTTAGTTTCTGGTTGTCGTTAGCTGAAAACGAGCAGGGACGTGAAAAAGTTTTCAATTCACTGCTGGAAAAGAAGTCGAAATGGAGCGTAAGCGCAAAAACATGCATTGCTGAAGCGCTGTAAGTCCACCACTTCTACATAACGCCATAAAAGGCAGTTTCTATTTTTAGGGAAGATGTGCGCTATTATCGCCTCCACGAAGGTCGTCTTGTTCCACCGAAGGTATGCTAAAATCCGCTTCCTCCCATTTCTATTCATATATATATATATATTTTTAAAAATCGAAGGGTGCCCTTGTCGGACTTAGACGCACTGACAAAGAGGCGATGAGCACGGAGACTTGGAAAGCAAACGTAGACGTCAGCATTGAGAACTTAGGCAGCCAGTGAAAACAATATAAATCCTTTTATCAATGTTTGTGTTGATATATGAATACTCGTTACGTGTATATGTACTGTATAGTTGTTAGTACAGTTACTGTAGTTATTTGATGAAGTCTTTATGTTAAGTGTTAAACAAACATTTCATCGTTAATAAATATGTACATTTCATCGTTAATAAATATATAGATGTTCTCTATAGCAATCGCATCAGAAGTGGTCATTAGCTGGGGTTCCGAGGGATCAAGCAAGAAGTTCCCCAGAACTTCAACTAATGAAGTTCCCGTGAACTACAGTCTTTTGGAAAGTTCCCGAGAACTTTGGAGGACGAAGTTCCAGCGAACTATAATCTTTTATGAAGTTCCCATGAGCTTCAGAGCTGAAGTTCCCACGAACTTACAGTGGTGTTCCCACAAACTTACAATGGAGTTCCCCAGGTCACCCGCCGGAACTTTCTTCAATGTTCGCCGGAACTTCCCCCCGTTTGTCTGAGATAGTAGAAAAGTCCGGCAACCCGTTAAGCCGCAACCATGCCGCCGCCATGCCGCCACATGCTTGCGAAATGCAACCGGCATGCTTTACCCCAACCAAAAGCGTTGATTACGACCAAAATTTAATATTATGACACCAAAATTGATGTGCGCAAGCGTGTGAGTAAAATTACTCGAATTATGGCCCAAATATTTGCTAGAACTGTGTTTTCGAATGAGCTGAAAACCGTTCAACAGGGTTCCAGGCTCACATTTTCATACCTTTTGCATGGAATGCATCAAAAGTTTTCATATGAGTAAAAAACCGCTTCTTAACTCTCCCTCTAAGTTTTTTCATTAACCTTAAAATATTTTCATTGAGTCGCAATCTGCTCCGATCGCAAAGAACACCCCTGAGCATTTCTTTAGCCTTGGTTATGCTTGCCTTTCAATTATCTTTTTTCTTTTTACGTTCTTTCTTGTCACAATATCTGTTATCATTTTTAGGGGTGGAGAAGTGGGAGGGAGAGAGGAGGGTGAAAGAATTTGCGACTGATTATGGGAGATGCAGAGGGGAAGAGACAAGTGCTGGACCGGTAGATTTAGGCTCTGACTACGGAGCAAACGCGTTCGGCCATGATGCGGAAAGTGATCAGATTTGTTTTGAATCTTCTGATTAATAAATCGTAAAAAAGGAGATTTTCGGCCTTACACCCTCCATTCTGAAGTGAAAGAGAGCAAGCAAAAAGACAAGTAAGAAGTAGTGAAGGAGGGGGCGAGTAAGGTCAAGGGGGACTTCGAGTTTTACATAATCAAAGGGAGTTCGTTTCAAATGCTCCCTGCTTCCAGCGGGTGCCGAGCCTTGCTCACAACACTTGATTGTGACAAAAGCAACTCTAACATAGGGCATTAGCCACGCGGTACGAAAAACACTTTGGCATGCTTTCCAAAATTTTCGCAGTTCATAACCCCGAAGTTTCGGGAAAAGGGCGCGTGGCATCAACCATCCCCCCTCCCAAAAAAATTTAAGGCTGAATTACAATTTCAAAAAATTATTGGAAATTTTGATTATTTACAAGTATGAACAAGTCGCATGCACATCATTATAACTCATGTAAGTATTCAGTACCCTCGCCAAGCTGTTCAAGAGACTCGAACAGGAAATGAATAGTACCCATTTCACAGAAAAAAGCCGGAATGAGGTACCACTATTGAAGTCAACGTATCATATTAACAGATGGTCAAGTCATAGAAGAGGAGAGAGACGACTATTGGGTTGAACCCTACCACCGCTATAGAACTTCTTAATAAATTTCCCTATTTTCCTTTCTATTAGACACGTGGTGACACTCATTACTTTACGTCTTCTAGCTAGTCTTTTGACTGCTTGTAGGTTTGCACCAAGTGTTTACTGAATGAATCATAATGACCGTAAGTACTGATGACGTCAATCATGGGATTTCCTGCCCTGGTATGAAAACAAAGATGAGTCATGCCTATGCTGAAAAAACCTCTTATCATTAGATGCTGTGGATTACCACACGTTGTCAACGGTTTCTAGGACGGAGTATAATACGCACTAAAAGCGTGCCACCCTGAAAGGTGATTTCAAGTTTTTTCAGATTCAATTAATCAATCGTCGAATTTTTTATCTTCTAGTTAACATTGCGAAATATGGATGGAGTGTATATAAGCTTTGAGCTCTAGGATACAGTGTAATCAGCTTCCGTTGTCTAGAAAAGCCTTATTCTTTAATTTTATTTCTTCCTACTGTATCTGGACATATCAAGCTTGAACATATAAACCTAAGAACTTCGATACTACCCCCTTTTGAGTTAACAAAGGTAACGACTTTCATGATTACCTGAGCTTGTTCTAATATTTAATGTTTTTTACGGACCCTGGCTGGCCCTTTTGAGTAGGTGTCACAACTGTTACGGAAGGCATGAGAGGTGTGAATTTGAATGTGCTTCCCACTAACCCGAGATAATGCTCAACTCAATTACATTTATCAAATGCGAACATCTGCAAAGAAAAATATTAGGAGGGGGGGGGGGTGTCCGAAAGTTCGTGCTGCTTTCCACTTACCCTCAAATCATTCAGATCAACGACAGACAAACACTTTAAGCATTGTTTTATGCAGAATTTCAGCAATAATGTTTTTTGCTCGGATTCCTTCAAGGTTCTTTCGAATAATCGCCACTCTACACAACCATGCATTTTACCTAATCTGACTTCATCTATTTTTTGAAATTTTCTTTTTGGACTTTTGGAAAAGCTTTGATAAGAGTTAGATAGAGTAAATATAACGCTGTAGAACCCAATTTTTTGGCATCGATAGCTGGCTTTCCACACTGATGAGTTCCTACCAAAATATTGATTCTGAAATTTTCGGGTGCAGCCTGGGACGCGTCAAAAGACTAGAATTATGGCAGTTTTTTTCCTTGAGGCCTTTACGAATCAAAAAAGAAGCATCTGTCGAAATCTGAAGAAGAAGCTGCATAGAATGACACCGTTTGCTGTCTGATGTGTTCTACGAGGTTTGGAATAAACAAATTTCAAATTTGGTAGCATCAAAATGATAATTCTAGAAATGAGAAGCCAGCTATCGATGCCAAAAAATTGTATCACATAGGTGGCCGAAAAGTATGAACACCATGTTTAATCGTGTCCCATCGTTTGTTGGCTGGCGCAAAGAAAATCATTTTGGCTCTATAGTTTGCAACAAGCGGTCGTCTAATTACCAAGAAATTATAAAGGCGTGCCCTCACCGCGAAGTCATTGCCCGCTTGGCTGAACACGGCGAGTCCGCGGCAGCTATTGCAAGGAAGCTAGGCACGCCTTTAAAGGCAGTCTCCGGGCAAAAACTCGATCTTGAGATTTTGTGCTTACCCGGGCCTATTCGCACGCTGAATCCGAAAATGCACATTGGAGAGAGCGAAAACGATGAAAAACGGCTCTAACACGGGAGGGATATCAGCAGGTGGGCGGGGTCTTCCCCAGTGTGAATTCACGCTCCCAGCTTCCAGAGCGAACTTCTCGGTTCCGATTTCAAGTCATGCACGCACCTGGCCGGTGGAGATCTCAGGGCGCTAGAGGAATTGGAAAGATGGCTCCGGAAGCTGGGACTGCGAAATTCACAGTAAGGAGGACCCCGCCCACTTCCGATTTCCCTCCTGCATTAGAGCCCTTTTTTGCCGTTTTCGCGCTTTCCAATGTGGATTTTCGGATATAGCATAGTTAATAGGCCCGGGTAAGCACAAAATCTCAAAATCGACTTTTTGCCCGGACACTGCCTTTAAGGACCGTCCAGAAAATTATCAAAGAGTGGAGAGAAGAAGGAAATGTTGCTCCAAAGCCGAAAACCGGTCGTCCGCGCACGGTGAACACCAGAAGAATTCGAGGAATTATCAGAAAAAAGATTTGCAGGAAGGACGAGGTCAGCCTGAACGGCATCGCGAAAGGCCTGAACATAGCACGTTCGTCGATTCAAGCTATAGTAAAAGATGAACTGGGACTTTGCAGCTACCGAATGCTTACTGGACACCAACTGACCAGCGCAGCAAAAGCCAGTCGTTTGGAAAAATGCAGGAAATTGTTGGAATTTTTTGAGGTGCGCCGTCATGAGGAGGTCTTGTTTACGGGTAAAAAAAACTTTTACCATCGAAGGGTGTCGTAATCCCCAAAATGACCATCAGCTAATCAGCCCGAAGGATAAAAAGTCACGGAAGCGAAAAATCACTAGGAAGTCACTATTTCCTCCAAGTCCGATGATTTGGGCAGGAATCTCAGCGAACGATAAGACGCCGCTTGTTTTCATGCCGAAAAATGTCAACATCAACACCACGGTGTACCAAGAGCAAGTTTTTAAAAAGTATGTCTTCCCATTTAAAAGAAGTCATCCACAAATGATATTCCAGCAAGACTGGGCACCAGCACATTCAGCGATTTCGACATTGAGGTATCTTTCAGCCAACCTAGATGATTACCTGCCCAAGGATCTTTGGCCGTCCAACAGTCCTGACTTGAACCGATGGACTTCTCCGTGTGGAGTATGCTAGAGAACAGTCTGAAGGGAAAGATATCACAAGTATGGTGTGTCTGCGCAATGAACTGGAAGGTGCCTGGACAAAAATTGATACTAATTACCTGCGCCGCACGGTCGCCTCGGTGAAGACAAGACTCCGGGCTTGCGTCAGAACCAGAGAAGGCCATTTCAAACAATTTCTCTAGATATCAATATTCAAGCTTTGTTTGTGGCAGGGACACAACAAAAGTCAGGATTTAATGTTTGGTGACAGATTTACGTTTGTTGATGCGACGCCCACACTTTCCGGCCACCCTGTATTTGACTGGTACTAAAGTATTCTCAAAAGTCCAGGACGAGAATTAAAAAAAGCAAAAGTTAGGGTATACCCTGGTACATGAAATTTAAACACTAATGCTGGAAAGAGGAAATTTTTGCATGAAACGCTTCTTATAATTAAAGTGTTTTCCTGCTTTTATTCTGATTGATTTGAAGATAGGTTAAGAACGGCACAAACATTCGGCCTACCTAATATCTTGAAAGCAATTTTGAGCAGCACAATTTTCGAAGTATTAATTGAAAAGCATTATTCTTTGATTGAGAATCACCTCTCCAAATACTGATAGAGAAGCTGATGCGAATTAATGTTTTGGATTGAAGATCAACTTCGACGAAAAACTGAAACAAAAAACAAAAGACACCAATTAGGAGAATTAAGAAAGTTTATTTTGCAAAGGTATTTCTCATTTTGTTTTCATAATTTGCGTACATTTACTTTCGCTGAGATTAGTAAACGACAGCTTTGGGCAGAATCTATGCTCCAACGGCTAGCACATAGTTACAACTAGGTTTTAGGGGAGGGATATCTGCGCTGTTGCGGTCCTCTGAAGTGGCTCTGAATAGGAAAAATGGGCCTGAAACCAAGAACTATCCAGAACTATCCACACTCACCATATCAAGCTCCGCCCACCCAGGTATTGTCGTCTGTGCCTTCAGCATTGGGCTCATTAAGGGTTCTGCACACTTACTTCATATCTGTAATCAGAGCCACGGAAAGGCCCCAGACTGACTAAGATATGGAGATTTGCGTGGATGCTGCCTTCAGATACTGTTCTATTACAATATAGCACTCTCAATGTTCTCGTAACTTTTCGTTCACAATATCACAGATTCCATTCGCTCGACATGAAATCGGAAGAGACCACCTTTTATTATAGGCAAATCAGAACGTCATAACTGATAACTGACGCAGATGCTGCTTTTTATCGTTCCATTTCTAATTTCTGCACTTGCGGTCTATATATGGATTTACTACGAGAATGTTAAGCGATATCCCAAAGGACCGCTACCCGTTCCTATATTTGGAAATTTGCTGACTGTATGTTTTAATTGTAATGTGACTTTTAGCAGTCAACTTTGAGTGAAAACTTAGGTCAATGCTGGCAAGTTGCACGAGCAAATCTCAGATTATGCAAAAGATTATGGTAGCGTTTATACCGTGTGGTTGCCAAACCCAACTGTAGTTATTACCGACTACGATCTCATTAAGGAAGCATTTGCCAAGAAAGGTAAGATGGGTATAAGATGGTACGTTTACGGCAATAGTTATTTTAAGGGTATGATTTCGCCGGAAGACCACAAGGTTATCCCAACGATTTATTGGGCATTATCAAAAACGGAGGAATAATCCGCTCAGAGGTAATCCTTTAAGCTATTTGTTCACCTATGAGGACATGAAAGTAGCTCTTTAGGGTGAAAACTGGAAGGAGCAGCGGACGACTTCACTACATATATTAAGGGACCTGGGAATGGGGAAGGATCTCATGGAGGAGCAGGTAGAAAATACACTACTCACAATTTTACATTATTCTGATACAATGCAAACAATATGAGCGCGGAACTAGCGCAAAAGCAGGACACGCGTCGTCTTCTAGCTTTTCCAAAAGAGTGGTTTCTCCTTCAGATTCAAAAATATCAGGAAACCTTCTTAGTGAGTAGTACGCATACAACATTTTGACCCAAAGGCAGGATGCAGGAATGAAAAATAAACTTCACGGTGAGCAGAATAAATATGGATGGAACAAGCAAATATAGGCTGAATGCATGTGGGAGGAGGAAAGAGAAAGGGGGAAAAGAGGAGAGAAAATACAAAATAATTTGATAACGCATACGAAAACTTCAAGGTAGATTTTGTTTCAATCGAGTGTAGGCCCAAAAGCAGTGGATCGGCAAAATGGATCCCCCTTAGATTTTGGTGGTGTTAGGTAGTAGACCTCTCTCCCCAAGTACACTGTAGCCCAAACTCCACGTGCCAATTCATGCTCTAAGTCCTGGAAAATGCGCAGATCTCCACCGGCTCCGCCCACTCAAAGCAAGTATATTTATTGCAGGTTTTGCTCTCAGCCCAAGAATTTCTCGTTCATATGGCTTCCATCAAAGATAAAGAGACAATGGATTTGCAGCGTCCATTACAGGTACATAGCTCAGAGCAGAAATGCAATATTAGGGTTGAGCCAGACCGCACACGTGCATAAAGAAATGGAGCGTACGCCGCTTGCGCCGCGCAGTCTGGCCAAACCCTTAGTACAGGGCGGAAAGTATTGATTTGGTTTTAGGTTTTTATAGCAAACATCATCCATAAGATATTATTCGGATGTAGTCACGAGTATGATGAAAGTGATCATCTGATGCAATCTGTAGATAACCTTATGCAGTTTTTTAATGACACCAGGTATATGGAAGAACTGCCTTACTTGCTTGGGTCCGCCTAGATTGATGCATTTATTTAGAAACAACAAAATAATGCTCCTGTGCCAGATGATTCCGGGGTTAGACCAATTACCGATAATAAATCGTCTGGCTAGAGGTCGTTTCATGAAGACGATTGATGTGGTAAGTTCATCTTAACTTTGATCATTCCACTCTATATCCAACTACCCTAAGGTAAAAAATAACATCAAAGAAGACGTGAGACGTTGCTTGAAAACCTACAGTGCGGATGAAGAACCAGAATGTTTTGTGCATGCCTACTACCAGCGAATGCACAACAATTCAAATTTAGAGTAAGAAGCTGATACCTAAGACAAAAGCAGAAAGATTGCTAAGATATTTCCAGCTATGACAATCTTCTTAGTGTATGCATGGATTTTTTCGTCGCTAGTATGGAAATGACACCTACAACCCTATACTGGGGCTCACTCTTATTGGCTACAAACACTGAAGTTCAGGTAGTATGAGATAAAAAGTTTTCCATCATGCTTTTTCAGAGTAGTTACCTAACGAAAAAAATAGCTCAAGCTAACCAATTTCCTAAAATGTTTAGAAAAGATACATAACTCAACTGCTTGATGTTTGAAAACTTTCCTGATTAAATATCTTTCGAGGATTCTTGCTGTAGAGCTTTTTCCAACTGAGATATAGAGTATAAGACAAACTACAGACCAAGATTGGTAGCAAGATTTTATTACACGACAAGCCAACGTTTCAGCGGTCCCTCCGCCTTTTTGAACCAGACAACAAAAATACCGTTCTGTGTTCCATTCGTTCTTAGACCACCCCCTAATCCTAGAAAACAACTTAGCTGTAATCGAGCGTATGACAGAATCTGCACAACCGCTCAGACAATCGCTGGGGGCAGGCGGGCACCGGAAAAATAGATTGCTGATTTCTCGCACCCCGCTCGCGGATTTTTTGGAAAGCAATCAGGACTTTTCGGAAGACCGCTTGCTGAGTCAGCGGATTTTTGAGAGACCGCCTGTTGAATTTTTTTCGCTCTTATCTTTTGCAGATATATTGCTGAACCTCTGAGGAATCGAGAACTCAGCAAGCGGTCTTCCGAAAAGTCCTGATTGCTTTCCAAAAAATTCGCGAGCGGGGTGCGAGAGATTAGCAATCTATTTTTCCGGTGCCCGCTTGCCCCCGGCGATTGTCTGAGCGCCGACTATCATCTGCACGTCTGAAAAATCAAGCGACTGCATGGGATTAGGAGTGGCATATCCACGGTCAAGCGTGGGGTGTGGCACGCCACACCTGGGGGATCGTATTGAGGAATCAAAAGGGGAGGGGGTCGTAGCTGGGTAATCTGATAATAGTGATAACATGATTTTCGTATCATATCCATAATTAGCATGTCAATTAACCCTTGTAGACAAAGTTTGAGCGAATGCTGAAGATTCAAGATACTAGGCTACCTAAGTGAAATGGTCATATTCCAACATGGTTAACTTTGTTTCAAAGGTGAATTAGCTATTTGTTTCACTCAAAACAAAGCACTACTCCTTCTTTGTCTATCTCAGAAATCTCGCTTCAAAAGACCTCCAAACTGTGGAATTAGAAGCCAACGAAAATCTCGTGGCTGCCACAGCTTTTAAGGGGGTGTGCCACACCCCATTAACTATGTCATAAAAACATTTTTAGCAAACTTTATTTACACGGATCGATAGCCTAGATCTCCTAGTTTTCGCAGGAGTGATTTGAGCCTGATTCATTTTCTTTGCTCTGAGTAATAGTTGGTGAAAGCACAGCCATCAAAAGCGGAAAATGGGAAAGACGTGCTTTTGGATGACCTCTAATTTCACAGTTTGGAGGTCTTTTGAAGCGGGATTTCTGAGATGGACAAAGAAGGAGTAGTGCTTTGTTCTTGAGTGCAAAAACGGATAGCTAATTCACCTTTGAAACAAAGTTAACCATGTTGGAATATGACCATTTCACTTAGGTAGCCTAGTATCTCGAATCTTCAGAATTCGTTCAAACTTTGTCTACAGGGGTTAATTGACATGCTCATTATGGATATGTTGCCCATTATGTTTGACAGGGCCTTCAGGTAATGCTATCTTAGGTATATAATTCTTAGGGGGGCGGTCTTATTAAGACAACAATCAGGGGGGGGGGTTCGTAACCAGCGATCGTGTGCCATACCCCTTGCTTGACTCTGGGTATACCTCATAACCTGTCAAAAATGCGGTGACCAATACATAGGAAGGAAAGGCAGACCCGTGTGCACAAGAAGCAAAGAGCATCTTGACGGCCTCAAATATCCCAAATGTCCACATTTTTGGATGCACATCGAAGGTTATGTCATGAGAACCAGTACTTCAAAGTCACTGTTAGGGTTTTGTCACACGGATCCGAATTAATAGCCCGCAAAACGTTGGAGGCCTTTTGCGTCTAAAACAACAAAAATGAACCGCCAAGATGAAGATATTGCCATAAACAGTGAACTGTTCTCCTATCAAACACTATTGGATTCTGATACGAGATCTTTTACAACCGTATAAAGGGTACTGTTGACACTGAATATCATACTCACTCATAACGCAGCTGCAGCGCAGCGCAGACTGGTTGTTTGGTCTCTATTTCCCGATCTGGCAAAGCTGAGGTCAAGCTTTCTACATCTACTCTGCCACTCCATCATATAGCTAAATTAAATCTGTTGCCAAACAGAGCGTTCGAGCGAGCATTTCTCAGAGTCTCGATCTTTTAAGAAACCCTGGAGAAGGCGGACGACCGCCGAATTATTAGCTTATATTGTAATAACTTGCTACCAACCTTGGTCGACAGCTTAAAAACTGTATCACAGTAGATCTGGCATGAATTTAGAACAAGGTTACGGTAAAATGCTAATCCCACGCATGAAGTGAACGACAAGATTGGAGTTTGAAATTTTTCAGTCGTATGGGATGTCTTTCTGAGGTGAAATTCAAGCTGCTATTTGGTAGGATCACTATCCCCCGCCGTGCTCCTGCGCGACTAGATTAATTGTGTCTATGTGGTTAAACTATTGAAAGTTACAACTACTAAAACAAAACTACTGAGAAATAAAATATTTATAAGACGAGCTCGCCTTTTCTTGGAACGCCGATGTCATTCTTGGCCCACCTCCATAACCTGAGTTCTGAGTTCGCGATCAAACGTTATCAACCTGGTCCTTACGGAACGGTACGACTCTATCACTCCCGGTAAAAGCCCTATCACTCCCGGTATAGGCCCGAGTGCGATCATGTCAATTCAAACAATCCCATACTGCTGGACCGCAAATACAAAGAGATCTTAAAGGGGAAGTCACTTAACTTAGGTCGGGCTTTTAAAATGAGACACATATGGTTGGAATCAGCTTGAAACGCTGATTTCAAATCTGTTTTCCTTAGCTGCGAAGCATTCCTCTGAAGCGAGTTATGAGCATTTTCCTGAGCAAATTTTGCGTGTTGACCGACTTAGGCATGCTACGGTATCATCCTCCATGTAGTGGTTCAAATGCATATTATACCCCTATCAAAGCCAAATGACTCAATTCGATGTTATTTTGATTTCCCACCACTTTTTGGACAGATTTTCATCCAAAGACCTTCTTTTCATATTCACTTGTATGTCAATGACACATACTAAAAAAGCTTATAACTCGCTTCAGAGAAAAGCTTCGCAGCTAAGAAAAGCAGATTTGAAATCAGCGTTTCAAGCTGATTCCAATCATATGTGTCTCATTTCAAAAGCCCGGCCTAAGTTAAGTGACTTCCCTTGTTAGAAAGAAGCTCGTAGGCCTAATGCAGTTAATAATGGACAAGTAAAGAATGAAAGCGGATCAAAGGCCCACATCTTCCTCGACGCGGCTATATATACATCTCGGCTTGGCAACGCGCCCATAGGAGAGGCACGGCAGAATAGAACAGTCCCGATAACGGCAGCATGCAGCACTCCCGACTGACCTGTATCGAGAACGGCGTATATCCAGGGTAAAGCGGGGGGTGCGGCACTCGACCGTCGGATACGACCCCCCCCCCTGATTGCTGTCTTAATAAGACCCCCCTCCTAAACTATACACTTAAGATAGTATTACCTGAAGGCTCTGTCAAACATAATGGACAACATATCCATAATTAGCATGTCAAATACCCCCTGTAGACAAAGTGTGAGCGAATTCTGAAGATTCAAGATACTAGGCTACCTAAGTGAAATGGTCAAATTCCAACATGGTTAACTTTGTTTTAAAGGTGAATTAGCTATCCGTTTTTGCACTCAAGACAAAGCACTACTCCTTCTTTGTCCACCTCAGGAATCCCGCTTCAGAAGACCTCCAAACTATGGAATTAGAAGCCAACCAAAATCTCATTTTTCCCATTTTTCGCTTTTGATGGCTGTGTTTTCACCAAATATTACTCAGAGCTAAGAAGACGAATCAGGCTCAAAACATCCCTATGGAATCTACGAGGTTTAGGCTATCGATATATATAAATATTGTCTGCTAAAAATGTTTTTTTGATATAGTTAATGGCCTGCGGCACCCCCCCCCCTCAAAACCTGCGGCTGCCGCAGGGGTGCCGCAGGGGTGCCGCAGGCCATTAACTATATCAAAAAAACATTTTTAGCGGACAATATTTATATGTATCGATAGCCTAAACCTCGTAGATTCCATAGGGATGTTTTGAGCCTGATTCATCTTCTTAGCTCTGAGTAATATTTGGTGAAAGCACAGCCATCAAAAGCGAAAAATGGGAAAAATGAGATTTTGGTTGGCTTCTAATTCCACAGTTTGGAGGTCTTCTGAAGCGGGATTCCTGAGGTGGACAAAGAAGGAGTAGTGCTTTGTCTTGAGTGCAAAAACGGATAGCTAATTCACCTTTAAAACAAAGTTAACCATGTTGGAATTTGACCATTTCACTTAGGTAGCCTAGTATCTTGAATCTTCAGAATTCGCTCACACTTTGTCTACAGGGGTTAATTGACGTGCTAATTATGAATATGATACGAATATCATGTTATCGCTATAATCAGATCACCTAACTACGACCCCCTCCCCTTTTGACTCCTCAATACGACCCCCCTCTGCGGCGTGCCGCACCCCCCGCTTTACCCTGCGTATATCTTGACAACTCGACTTTCCCGCACTTAATCCCAATTCAAAGTTCTTAGCACTATCTCAAGAGAAAAGACGAATAACGATCATTCGTAGCGCGAAACACAACTGTTAACAGCTCTACAAAATATCCTCTCTGGGTTTGTAAAAGACACTGAAACAGACTGATACTAGCGATCGTACAAGTGTACATAACCTTTGGTTCAACTGGCTTGGCACCATAAGGGCGGGGTTTAGTGATTGAGGCCGCTCGCGCCCGCGACGCACCTGCGTCTCTCTCGCGCGAGTGCTCTCTGATCATTATCTAGTCTTAATTAGGTCACGAAACCCCGCCTTTGCCGATGCCAAGCCATTTGAATCAAATGATACTTCGAAGACACCCGTATATCATACTGCTTTTAGGATAAAATCAGAGCAGAAATCATGAGTGTCCTGGGACCTGATGGACAACCTAGCGCCTCACTCAGGAACAGAATGCCGTATACCTAGTAGGTTTTCACTGTGTATAGTGCATCAAATTGCGACATTTTCATCATGAAAATAGCACAGAGTTGAATATGTGAGGAGATTTTCTTCTGCATAATCTCATAATTTACGCTAGAAGTCAAGAAAAGTTTTCCAGAAGAGATTTTGACTTTTCAAAGGAGGCACGGCAAGAACATCTTACCTTTAATGTTCCCTTATGTCCTTATCTCGAAAGAATTCTCGTAAAATTCCTTGTCGAGATCTCATTTATCGAATCGATTTCTAGAAAGTTGGTACATCAGCGAATGAGCTAGATTTCAGTGAAGGATCTAGTATAGCACTACATCGTCCCTTCATGAAGAAATACCTAGCTTGCACCGGTGAGTAACATAACGTTTTATGCTCTCCATTATAGATGCAGTGTTTGACAGCCGTGCCAGATGACGATTTAGGCTGACTCCGAGTTTGATATATTAGCTTCGTTTACCAGTGTTACCAAGACAATCTAACTTAGGGAATACTGTTCTTCTTTCGAAATACTGCTTTTCTGACAAGTTTTCTTTTCTTTTTAACTCTGTGCTTTTTTAGTACAATTTTGCTTCTATTTCTTATTACCAATATGTAGGATGAAATGTTTTCAGCGCAGCAATCCAGGAGATACAAAGATACGCTAATATCGTTCCTCTGAATATTTTACATCGAACTACCAGAGACACCAGCATCGGCAATATCCGTATTCCTAACGATACTCAAATCATTGGGCACATCAATCATGTCATGGCTCGTTCGCCAGTCTTTGAAAATCCCAAAAAATTCAAGCCAGAAAGGTTTCTCATGGAAGACGGACTTACTCTCAATAGAGTTAGTTAATCATGGAAAAAGTGCAGCAGATTATTCAATTATCTCTTTCTAGGAAACAGTGGAAAAACTTTGCCCTTTCTCAATTGGTAAAAGACAATGCGCAGGAGAAGCCCTGGCCAGAGTAGAGCTATTTATAGGACTGGTGACCCTGCTTCAGAATTATGAAGTCAGATTTTCAGTATTCTGAGGGGCACGTATGAATACGTTTTCTTTCCAGATAGAACCTGCAGAAGGGCATAAGGTGGATCTTGAGCCAATTTATGCCGCAGTTCTGCTACCAAAGCCACAACCTCTGCGACTCACACTACTGTCATCTGAGTGGGACCTCAATCGCAACTACAGTTCAATTACGAGTGATCATAAACTACATCCAAATAAGACTGACTCACTGAGTAACTTCTGATCTCATATAGGTCGCCATTCACTATTTGAATGATAGATTATGTATAAATTGGTTAGATATTCTTTGGAAACTTTGAGTGATGGAAAATACAAAGAAAATATAGGCTTCTAGAATATTTGAAAATGTGAGATGAATTTCGAAAAGCAAAAATACATGTAATCAATGCCATATCATAAGTGGTTATTCATTTTTGTCTGTCTAACCGCAAACCACTGAAAAATGATTTGCAATTTCTTGAGATATATGGGGGCGCCATAACAAAGAGAGGTACTTGAAATATGCTTAAAAAATTCGAATGGTAAAAATATAAACAAATAAAAAAAATGACACAACTGATCAAGAATGAAGGTAGTTCCGGAAATTATAGAATAGAAGAGGTACTTTGACTTTCAGACTGCATCTTAAATAATATTTTAGTTATTGTAGAGTCGGGCACTCGATATTTCGTCAGATCACTGGAGTACCGCAAGAAGGTAATGCTAGACCTATCACTGAGGATCTTACCCTATCATATTTAGAATATAAAATTCCGTTCATTAATAATAATCCACACTTGCTTCAAAGTTTATAGGTACATGGACGATACTCTATTCATGATAAGGATATAAGATCATCTTATACAGGGTGTCCGTAAAAAATGTGCCTACTGTTTGATTGTGAATAACTCTCTTCTAACGAAGTCTTTCGAGAAGCTTTAGGCACCATTTTGTAGAGCTGGCTTCAACTTAGATTTACAGTATAGAGCGAATCGCCGATCTCTCATTCTTACTGTAGGATTACGGTGGAAACTTCAAAAAGGGGTTTTGAGCCGCGAAAGGCCATATTTTGCCTCGGAAAGGAAACAAAACAGCCTGAAAACTTTTACACTAGGCTAATTAGAGTTGCCGATTCTAACTGTGAGATTTCCAACTTATAATGATGCTTCATTGAAGATTTATGCCAGGTAAGAGGTAGCGGCCATCTTTTCAATGTCGCTAAAAAGCGCGGTTACACCGTTTAAAAAGCTTCGCAATCTTGTGACTAGTTGAATATTGAACTCAGCGTCCATGAAAACCTTATTGCACAAGTCTTCACATTTTTTTGAAAAATTTTGAAATGGCAGCTTTTTTCACATTGACACCATATGTTTAAAGTTTCAACCGTAATCCTACAAGAAGAATGAGAGATCGGCGATTCGCTCTATACTGTAAATCTAAGTTGAAGCCAGCTCTACAAAATGGTGCCTAAAGCTTCTCGAAAGACCTCGTTAGAAGAGAGTTATTCACAATCAAACAGTAGGCACATTTTTTACGGACACCCTGTATATAAAGTTGAATGTCGGTTTGTCTGTCTATACTTGGGGCGGGGAGCGTGTCATAGGCTACTTCATTATCGATCGATATCGATTTTATCGATTTCATCGATAGCAAAGTTCAAGCTACAGGGCTGGAAGTTGGCGCAGGGGATAAGTGAGCATGCTGATTACGAGTACAATATTAATTTCTGGAACTATCGATCACTTCTATCGATTTTATCAGTTTTTTTGGCAAAGTTTGAGCTACGGGGCTTGGAGTTGGCACAGGGGGGTAAGTGAGCATGCTTATTACGAATACAATGTTAGTTTTTAGAATTATCGATCACTTTTATCGACTTTATCGATTTCTTGCGAAGCTACAAGGCTGGGAGTCTGGTCACTCGAGCAGCTGAAGCACACGCAAGCACCATATTCGATACAGCGGGAGTCGTTGGACGAAGCGAACATAATATTTGCAACGAGCGTCATACGAGCGCTCGCGAGGAATTTCGACAAAATATGCGATCTTTACATTTTGGGCAAAATTCATGAGGACGTGTATTCTCTCTCTATTCGCTCGTAACTCGGGGAATTTTACAGACTGGAGCCTGAGTCATGCACCATTCGATAGCACAATAACTTTGACTTAGAAAAGCAAGCAGGCAAGTTTTCTGAGAGATACGCGAGAAGTGCGGGCAAAGTTACGCACTTTCGTGATGCAGTTACAGTCACCTCACCGTATCTCTCCAAAAGACCCTGTAATCCTCAAAGACCACGATTTTCGTAAAGAACGTGTTCGAAAACCTCTATAAGCGAAGTTTCCTTACTATTCAAGAGCACCGAAATTTTGACCAAAATCCATCGGCGAGCTTCCGGAGCTAAAACGAGAAAAAATGAAATAAGCCGAATATATCGGAAAACTTGCTCGTAGAGGTTATCCGACCTGCTGATTTCGATACTTACATCTGTTTAGCAAGATAGCTTCGTATTCTGGGGCTATGGCGAGTAGAATTCGGGACGACAAGATTTTTCCACAATTCACCAGCCGTTCTATTTCTAAGAAATCTGTGGCTACTGCTTAGCACATCATAATCTACAGAAAAAGTACTAACGCAAGATCCTTGCTGGAATGTGCTCCGGACAATGCCCGCTGCTTTAGACCTTCGCGAAAAGACGTGCTCAGAAAGATCCAAGAATACTGAAATCGAAATATCAAAGACATGTCGTAAATAAAAAGATTCGCCTTGATGAGCTGAGCAAGCAGCTGTTTTCGGATTCAAAATATACTTATTCCGAAGGAAGTTATGACGAGCAGAGTTTAAAAACGCGTGATTTTAAAACTCACCAACGCTTCTATCTCCTTTGGAAAAAAGTCTGAGCCTATTTTTTAGCGCACAATAATCTACAAGAACAGTATTATCGAGTAGTACTTAGTAAAGTCTTCTATGTTGGATAGGCGTTGCTTCACATATTCGTGAAAGAACCTCCGCAGAAGAATTTGAAAAAACTGGAAAGGGAATATCGAAGACATCGTACCTCCACTTCCAATATATCAGAAGATTCTCCGCGCCGAGCTGAAGTGAATGGTGGCTTTGGATTCAGAGTTCGTCAACTCTAAAGGGCCGGGCATACTTCACGCGACTTCAGTCGCGAAGCGATTTGGCAATTCGCCAGAAGTCTTCAGATCCAACACTAGCAAACTGCACATGCAAAGTGTGTATAACTTAAGTGGATTGCTAAAATGCTCTATCTTCTATACATTTAAAATGTGCTTACAGTGAGTTATGGACAGTTGGAATATTGCCAAATTGCGTCGCGACTGAAATCGCTTGAAGTATGCCCGGCCCTTAAGCGAGATATGGCCACGCGACGGTGATGTCCATACATGTAGCGACATGTAGCGACATGTCCACACATATCCATACATGTCCATATATTCGCGTCTATTCAAAAAATGTGAGCGGTATTGTATATATAATTGCAAGATTACAGCCTCTTATTCGTAGTTTTTTTTGCACAAACATTTAGCTTTCCATACGCAGAAAAAAAACCTGAAAATGTGGGACATTGAGACCTACGAAAACTGTTGAAAAAAGGTGACATTCCGTTTTTGAATTTTTTTCTTTCCGCAAATTTTCTTTGCCCAAGTTGTTTTTATCTTTATTTGTACTATTGGCTTCCGGCTACAAAATAAGTTACTTATCATCTATACCTGATGAAGGGAGTTATCATTTGTCAAAAACGAGGTTTCAGAGAAATAAACTTCTTCTAATCCATATTCTTCTGTTTTTCATATGTGTGCAGTTGAATGTAAGCTGTGTTGCAAAAGGATTGCTGCTTCTAACGGTCTTCATTGCATAGGAAAATTTTTTTTAGGAAGTTCAGCAAGCTTAGCTGAGAACTCGCAAGACGCTCATTATTTTTGCACTAATTTATACACATGCAGTCTTAATGGCTAATTGAAGCCGTTTGCATCATCACGGCGGTTTATCAAAGAATGAAAACCGTTGAGAATATAAAGATGAATATAAATTTAATAACGATAATCATACGCCGAATAGTCCACACGAAATTCGCAACTTTTGAAACAGACCCTTGTTCTCCAAGTCAAAAATGATCTGTTCTACTTGAACTTCAGTCGAAAACCAAGGTCGTACATAATAAACACGCGATAACGAAGCGGAGGACGGCCAGCATTGATGAAAAACTGCAAACCCTTTCCGTGGTTTTTCTCCGTTTATACTGAGTTTTCTCTCCCAAAAAAGTATTTAGCAACGCTATATGCTCTTCGCAGATGCTTCTCGCCAACAATTACTGGACGACTACTATTCCGCTACCATTTTTCGCACTATTTGTTCTCGTGACTATTTGTTCGCGGGGTCATACATCCCACTCGCAAAGCACAAATCATAAAATCACCTGTCATATAGGTAAAACAGAACGTCACGACCGATCTTTGACGTAGATGCTGCTTTTTATCGCCTCGTTTTTGATTTCCGCAATTGCGGTCTACATATGGCTTTACTATGAAAATGTCAAGCGATATCCTAAAGGACCCCTACCAGTTCCTATATTTGGAAATTTGCTATCTGTAAGTTTGAACAGTGCTTTTACTGCAGCAGAAAATAGTCATCGTTCGAAATTGAAAAAAATCAATAAAATAAATCGTAAAAAGTTCAGGCCAATATTCGAAAACTGCACGAGCAACTATCAGATTACGCAAAAGATTACGGTAGCGTCTATACTGTATGGCTGCCAAGGCCATTCGTAGTTATTACTGACTATGAGCTCATCAAGGAAGCGTTTGCGAAGAAAGGTACGAGAGCTTCAAATTGCCTGTCTAAATTATGATAATTTGAGGTGATGAATTCTCCGGAAGACCACAAGGTTATCCCAGCGACATATTCAATATAATTGAAAACGGAGGGGTGATCAATTCAGAGGTTACAGTACCTTTAAATCACTCCTCTCAAGATAAAGATGATTTTTCAGGGTGAAAACTGGAAGGAGCAGCGCAGGATTTCATTGCATATACTCAGAGACTTTGGGATGGGAAAAAATCTTATGGAAGAACAGGTATAGATTTCGAAGGATATACTGATTAGACTTGGGAATGCACAGAACCACATCCTGATATTATTTACAAATTTATTTGCGCATATACAAGTTATGTTAACAACGAAACCAGAAAAGTTGGACATTTAGCCGCTTTCGAAAAAATGCTATTACCGTTCGCAGTGTTGTGCTGGAACTGTCCGGAACATACGGAATCAGTAAAACCCAGCCATAAGGTAGTGTGTATAGTGACCAGGAGCCATCAAACTCCAAATTCTAAGCTATACCAGAATGGTTAGCCATCACATTTTGGGCTTACCATAAGAGGAGTGGTAAGCCACCATGTAAATTATAACATTCAACGATACATACAACAAATGAGATACATGAGAAGTCCTAATAATTATGAAGAGTTTTTGTTCAGTTGTTCAAATCATTACTTCATGATTGCAGGAAGTCTACAGCCAAAAGTAAAATATTTTATTCTTCCTAAAATTAGCTACTCGTTATTTGTGATAACTCAGTGATATGTACTACTGCAACTGAACCCGGTTTTCATAGGTCTTGCTCTCAGCTCAAGAATTTCTCGCTCATATGGCTTCCATCAAAAATAAAGATGCAATGGATTTGCGGCATCCACTACAGGTAAGACTAAGTAAAAAATACTGATGCGTGTCCCAAAAGTGAGTTTCCACTTTTCATTCGTTATCAGATCTCTTCGCCTAAAGCCTTTTGCTTAGTTTTATGTAGCACTAGCTGGCTTACCCGGCTCCGCCGTATGTTCCGAATAGAAAATTCCATTTCTTAACCGATCCGGACCAAACTTGGCACACATACCCTTCGGGCCCCGGCGGGCGTCACAGTCCACTTTTCGTTATCGATCGATGTCGATTTTATCGATTTTTTGCAAAATTTGAGCTACGGGGCTGGGAGTTGGCAGAGGGGTGTAATCGAGCATGCTGATTACGAATACAATATTAGTTTTCGAAACCGTGCATTACTTTTATCGATTTTATCGATTCTTTGCAAAATCTGAGCTAGGGGGCTGGAATTTGGCAGAGGGGTGTAATCGAGCATGCTGATCATCACCCCTCTGCCAAACTCCAGCCCCCTAGCTCAAATTTTGCAAAAAATTGCAGCGCTTCCAGCATACAGCGCCATTTGAGATAGGCCGTTCGAGAAAGGAGGGCAAGCGTTAGGCGACAAAACGTGCAAAACGCAAGCAACGTAAATCCTGTAACTCAAAACTATGCACCATTTTTTCATTGGCGTCGGTTAATGTATCGGCCCGGACCCCCACGCCCCCCCCCCCCCCCCGTTTTTGGTGGAGGAGACGTTTTGCACGGGAAGTTCTTTGGGGTCCAAAAAATTGGGTTTGTCGCCTAGCGCCCTACCCCTTCGAGAAATTCAAAAAACGTGTGGAACGTTGTGTAGCAGTGTTTTGAAAAAAGCAGATTTCATTAAACAACTTTCTTGATTTCATTAGACATATTTCTACAAGTTCTTCAAGCGTTTTAAATGGTTTGACTACATTGTAAAAACACTGGAAAAACACTGCTGCGATTTAGTAGGTAACTCAACAAAGAATATGCAGCCATTAATGGCTGAAAACTATCTCCAAGATTTTTACTGTGATCTTACAGTAAGTAAAAGCAGTGGATGATTCTGGTTAATTTGCTGCATATTGTAAATCTAACAAGGGAAGCGTGTGTAGTCGAAGTGGCCTTTCCAGATGAGACCCATACTGCTTTGAAGAGCATTAGGCGGTGATTTCAAATCTGCCTTCCAAATCTGCCAAGCACCTCTGGACGCCGAGTTATGGGCGTTTCAAGTCAGAAAATTGAACGCAAAACTGGAACAAAATCGCCCAAACTTGCTCAAATGTTCCAGTGTCTAGTATCAGAGTCCTTTATGCAATGAGTACATTTTATCTAATACGCTAACACTTAACACTGCTTTATCTGAGCGGTGTAAAGATTCTAAGAATCGATTTAACCCAAATTCTGCATTCATTTTTTGTTCCAAAAAACGGCCATAACTCGGCGTCCAGAGGCGCTTGGCAGATTTGGAAGGCAGAATTGGAATCACCGTGCAATACTCTTCAAAGCAGTATGGGTCTCATCTGAAAATGCCACTTCGACTAAACACGCTTCCCTTGTAAGTTAGAGTCTGCTTTACGGACTCTATCTTAAACTAAGCAAAAGATCTTGTGGAAAGAAAGCTATTGACGATTGAGAAGTGTATGCCGAGTATTCCGTTGATATAGTAGGTTGTCCCACAAGTAAACTCCTTTCCTAAATAAATCAAAATGTTTTTATATTTTTAACAGACCTAGGGCCGCATGCATTAACATCCCCAGCGGCGAGGGGATCGCATTTTGAAAGAAAGCTTTATCTCCTGAAGCTCTAGATATCTAGATAAACTGCCTACTTTTCCGCCACGAACTTTCACTATGAACATATTAGGTTGTCCGAAAATTAATGCAGGTTTTGATTTCCAACCGCAATAAGTCATATATCTCTCATTTTTGAATAGGTTGCAAGGTACCATTCGATAGAGCAAAGCAAGCTCTACAAGATGGTTATCTTGATTTAGCAACAGCTCTGATCCACCACGAGTTCCGAGCCAAAAACTAAAAAGATTCAATTGCCTGCAAAATTGAGAAAAATCGTAACTCAGTTCGTAAAAATCCTAATAAAATCTAACTTGTTCACTTAAACACAATCCACATAAGGCATCTATATACGCCGTTGTCGTATTTTTTTCTCTGTTAGAAATCAAGAAAACGGAAATTTTCGTACATTTGCTAAAGTGGTGCTGTGCCGTTCTCACATAGGTAGTTGTATACTACAAACCTGTAGAAATATAAACGTGAATTTTCAGCTCTCTACAAGCTTTAGTTCTCGAAAAATATCGAATACAGTTTCCGCTAGCCATGTGGTCCAAGCTAAAATTCAAATTTCTCGCGAACTAAAGCTTGAAGAGAGCTGGAAATTTACGTTTGTACTTCTAAAGGTTTGTAGTTTACAACTACCTATGTGCGAACGGCACAGCACTACTTTAGCAAATGGAGAAAAATTTTCGTTTTCCTGATTTCTAACTGAGAAAAAAATACGGCAACGGCGTATGTAAATGCCTTATGCAGATTGTGTTTACGTAAGCAAGTTAGAATTTTTGTAGGATTTTTACGAACTGAGTTACGATTTTTCTCAATTTTACGCGCAGTTGAATCTTTTTAGTTTTTGGCTCGGAACTCGTGGTGGATCAGAGCTGTTGCTAAATCAAGATAACCATCTTGTAGAGCTTGCTTTGCTCTATCGAATGGTACCTTGCAACCTATTCAAAAATGAGAAATATATGACTTATTGCGGTTGGAAAGCAAAACCTGCATTAATTTCCGGACAACCTAATATTAAACGGGAGCAAGAAGCTGTACAAGCCGCATATTCCAGCTTTTGTATAATCCTCCGCTGATCCCTCGCGGTCGTCTTTTCTTTACGTCTTTTCTTCAAAGTCATTTTTCTTCCTTCAAAAAGAACGAAAACCTTCCAAAGTTGTACTGATTATCTAGCGCAAGTGCTAAGCATGCTGATAAGAACAAATGAGTTTTTGGAATATCGATTTTTTTGATATACCCCAACTTTCGACTTGCGGTTCATCGCAAATTTCATGATTTCGAAACATCACTGTTCTTACCAGAAATACGATTAGACTGTTGGGTTAGATAAACAGCGCAACTTTGAAATCTTTTTATTGAATTCGAAAAAGAAAAAAGGCTTCAAAAAAAGGTCGGCAGCTGGGAATCAAGGATCATACGAAAAGCTCGAAAATTTGGCTTTTACAGCTTCTTGCTCCCGTTCAATATGTTCCTAGTGAAGGATGGTGGGGCTACTTATGGATAGGTAGACGGAGTGAAATACAGATATCTGGAGCTTCAGGGTAGAAACTTTGTTTTAAGCTTCTATCCCCTCCTCGACGGTGATGTTAATGCATGCGGCTCTTAGATTACTATTCCACAGAAGGAAGCAAGCTCTTCGAAAGGACCACCAAAGACCCGCCTAAGATGCGCCCGTAATTCAGGTAAAATTTGTAGCCAAAAATCAAATTTTCGATTACTTCGGTCATCGTACACTAGACACATAGTAGTATCCAAAAGTAATTTGGAGGAGTTTTTTCGGGGCTCAAAAGAAATTAGAATAGCCCAAAATGCAAAAATGTTACTTTTCCAGGTTTTTTGTAATCAAAGTTGTACAGAAAACGCATGCAGAGGTAAAAGATTGAGACTAAAGTGCGGTTCATAATTATACGAACACCCAAAATTTTGTAAGTTTTCGGACTTTTTGGGAGAAACTCAAAAAGCCGTTGGTACCACGCGATAGAACACAGCCGAAAAGTATATGATCTATAAGAATGGAAATTGATGTCAATTTTAGGAGTGTTTTTGCGCCTTACACGAATTTTTAGCGGTTCATAATTATACGAACACCTCAAACAAAGGTCCGTTTTTCATTCAAGATTGCAATCATTTGGGTCCAAATTTTTTTGTAGAGTTACAGTAACAAGGTCTGACATATCTGCTACATACTGAACCCAGTGCAGTTCAAAAAGAGGATCGTTACTAATTCCAGATGGCTTTAAATGCTTTTGAAGTCATTGCTCTCCAAAAACATCGGTTCTTCTGTGGTTTACGCGCTCCAGTTAGCTTCTACCAAAGCTATGAGATAAAATAAGCTCTTTGGACAGGTATTTCGTTTAACGCTTGAAAAAATCTTTGCGTTTTCGTGCCGTTTTTCAACCAAGTTCTAACCTTACCCTAGAGTTAGCACGTTTTCGAGCCTCAAAAGTCAGCTTTTGAAGCCGTACAATGAAGTAAGCATATAGTATGTAGAAGTTCACAAGACTGTTTATTTGGCTAGAAAAAATCAGCAGCGTTGAGCGTTTGTTTTGGCAACGCAGACGTCATTTCACCAAAAACACTGTTTTTACTATTGCAATCACACCTTTATTTGGTTTGTAGCTCCATAGCCTCAAGATCAGTTCTACAAAAAACCCAAAAATTTTGGCACAGAAACATCATCATGCAAACAATGCAGCTGCTTCATATCAAATGTTTGCGCAAGAGGGAAGCTGAGTTTTGAGGCTCGAAGTCGTGCTAACTCTGTGGTAAGGTTGGAACTTGGTTGAAAAACGGCACGAAAACGCAAAAATTCTCCAAGCGTCAAACAAAATACCTACCGCAAGAGCTTACTTCATCTCATAGCTTTGGTAGAATCTAATTAGAGCGCGTAAACCACAGAAGAACCGATGTTTTTGTAGCGCAATCACTCCAAAAGCATTTGGAGCCTTCTGAAAAAAGTAACGGTCTTCTTTTTGAACTGCACTGGGTTCAGTGTGTAGCAGATATGTCGGACTTTGTTACTGTAACTCTACAAAAAATTTGGACTCAAATGATTGCAATCTTGAATAAAAAATGGACCTTTGTTTGAGGTGTTCGTATAATTATGAACTGCTAAAAATTCGCATTAGGCGCAAAAGCACTCCTAAGATTGACATCAATTTCTATTCTTATGGATTATATACCGTTTTTGGCTGTGTTCTATCGCGTGGTACCAACGGCTTTTTGAGTTTCTCTCAAAAAGTCCAAAAACTTACAAAATTTTTGGTGTTCGCATAATTATGAACCGCACTTTATACTTACTAAGGCTTCTAGTAGTATACAATGACATGTGGAAGGGTGGGAGAGTATGCCATTTTTGAACTGCCTTTTCACTCTCGCTTTCTGCGCGCAGAGAAAAAAAATCCAGTAAAGGCATGTTTAAGTACTACTGTGTGTCCAGTGTATAATGAGCAAGTACGAGGTCCGTAGAATTTTTTCGCTAAAATCCAGTTTTCAGGTTATAAAATTCTTTCGATTTTGGCTCCAGAGCCTACCTGATAGGCGGATCTTTGGCCGCTTCTGTAGAGCTTGCTTAGCCCCATCAAAAGGTACTCTAAATCTGTTAGGAAAACAAAAACACCTTGATTTCTTCAGAAAAGGAGTATATTTTTGGGACAACCGAATAATTGTTTTAAGCGTGCACAGATAGCCAGACCAGACGATGTCATTTTGGGCACACGCAAAGTGGTCGTCGTCTCAGGAGTAGCAACTGTTCACGCGCCAAATTTAGGGCACTTTCTGGACACTGCAAGCACACACTATATTAAGCATAAAATCTACTTGATTGTGCCCCTTAAAGGCAACCGCTCACACCGCAACGTAGTCTGCGTCTTTCTTGCGAGCGCGCTTTCTAATCACTACTTAGCGGTGATTAGGCCTTGAAGCTCCGCCTTCCACTCGCCAATCTCGTTGAATCGAAGGGCATTAATCGCTGTGCTCGGAGAGCAACGCGCTTGCATCCATTGAAGGCAGTTCATGACTGGAAGAGGTGCAGAGAAAACAAGCGGCACACCGCATTCTCTGCGCCTGCTCGGACGGCCTATACTTGCTTTTGGGACACCCTATGAAAGCAAGGAACCAGCATTTTCCAGGTTTTTATTGCGAACATCATTAACAAGACACTGTTCGGGTTCAGTTACGAATATGACAAAAGTGATCGTCTTATGCATGGAGTAGATCAGCTGACGCAATTTTTCGACGATATTAAGTACGTGGCAGAAAGTCTGATTTTCTCGTCTGTTTAGACCCGATGGCATTTGATTTCAGAGACAGCAAAATGATGTTCTTCAGCCAATTGTTTCCGGGGTTAGATCGATGGCCGATAATAAAAAGCTTAGCCAGAGACCGATTCATGCAGACAATTGATGTGGCAAGTTTATATCTTTGATCAAAACACATTAAGTCCACAACATATCCTACCTAGGTAAAAAATAACATCAGAGAAGACGTGAAACGTTGCTTGGAAACTTATAGTGCAGATCAAGAGCCAGAATGTTTTGTGCATGCATACTACCAGCGAATGCAGAACAACTCAAATCTAGAGTAAAAAGCTGATACCTCAGACACTTGCAAAAACTACTGATAATTTCAGCTATGACAATCTTCTCAGCGTATGCATGGATTTCTTTGTTGCTGGAATGGAAACGACAACGACGACTCTTCGTTGGGGCTCGTTATTTCTTGCCACCAACATTGAAGTACAAGTAAGAGAATATCATAACAAATAATAATTCCCTAAACCTTTAGCTTATATACATTCGCTCGAATTTCAGGATAAAATTAGAGCCGAGATTATGAATGTCTTGGGTGCTGATGGGAAACCTAGCACATCGCTTAGGAACAGAATGCCGTACACTTGGTTCGTTTTCAAATATATTGCACTGAATCAGAGACAGAATTGCAGCATCTACAGGGCTTATCATTATCAGAGTGAATGCTCCAGCATCTCCGCTCCCACGTGAGTGAACTCTGCACCTCTTCAGCGAACATGCTCTCCAAATTCCACTTAATTAGCGACTGAAGCTTCGCCTTTCCCACGCTCGTGATGGGAATGTGATAAGAGAGCATGTTCGCAAAAAATGCAGAGTCCAAGCGAGGCGGCTGCGCGGGAGCGGAGATGCTGGGGCAACCTACTCTCTAATTAATAAGTCTGCTTTGTACTGACGAGGGAAGTACTTTCAATGGCCGTGGCCTTTTGATATGATATGCAAATCGTCTGAAGCAACTTCAAACGCTGATTTTGAATTCGCTTTCCGTTCCTGCGGAACGCCCTTCTGAAGAGGGTTATGGAAGCCTGAAAATCCTATTTTGGGGCGCTCCTTGAGTTTGAGAGTGTTGATATGTCCGTCGGCGATGCAGTGGTGTAATGGTTAGTTGTTGGCATTGAAGGCGAAAGGTCGATGGTTCGAATCCGTGCAGAGCGAACTATTTTGCACTTTAATTGTGAGTTAGAAACCACTCTAATTCTTCTGCAGTCACATACTGTAATGCCCTTGGCAAATGTGACCTAAGGGATTAATTGTCTGGCATAACTGCTTGTAATGAGACCCTGAGACTCTACCTGACTTCGTTACCAGTAAAACAAGAATGAACATGGTGAAGCATGTTTATCACCATAAAAAGCTCAAGGAATGCTCACTATCATTAATCCAGAAGATGTTCTTTCCTGCCTTTACTTTAACAGGTACTTGCAAGCATGAGAACTGCACAGATTTTTCTTCATACGCTCTTCCCGTTGTGTGAAATGTCTGTGTTTTGCGTAATTTCGCTTCACCTCTGTACATATTTTTTTGCGGAGAAAATCAAACCTCAACAAGCAAGGGTTTTGCCAGAAAATTTTTTCCTTAGGTCATATTTGCTAAGGGCATTACAGTATGTGACTGCAGAAGAATTAGAGTAATTTCTAACTCACAATTAAAGTGCAAAATGGTTCGCTCTGCCCCGGATTCGAACCAGCACCTTTCGCCTTCAAAGCCACAACTAATCATTACACCACTGCACCATTAATGCACATAGCAGCGCTCTCTAACTCAAAAAGCGTCCCCAAAATAGGATTTTCAAGATCCCATAACTCTATTCAGAAGGGCGCTCCGCAGAAACGGAAAGCAGACTTGAAATCAGAGTTCGAAGCTGCTTCAGATAATATGCATCTCATATCAAAAGGCTACGGCCATTGATAGTACCTCGCTTGTGAGAGGGACGATCACCTCGCAAATTCGCGGTGTTTGGGCCAGTCCCATGCAGGGCAGGCGACGAGCGCAGGGACTACTCTGGATGCAGGCTTAGGCCCGTATGCACGTACATCCCCGCTGGGGAGGAGAGGGGATCTGAGAGGAAATATACGTTATATCTCGCTATTCTACGTATCTTTCTTCTTTTTCCTCTATCTTGCTCATGAAGTTTTTCATACACTTATACCTGCACATAATGAAGTTTTTCATACACTTATACCTGCACATAATGGATGCCAGGTTACTTCCATACAAGATTGATTTTTTGTCATTTTGTATGATCCCCAGGGGATCCCCGGGGATCACCTCTCATTTTCAAAGTGATTTATCTTTCTGAGAAGTCAATGAAAAAGCCTCAAAATTGTACTGAGGATATACTACGGCACTGCTAAGCATATTTTCGACAGAGGAAATGGAATCTGAAGATTGTGAATTTTTCGATGATCCATGGCTCGCGAGCTAGGGATTACCGCAGATTTCGATATCCTGAGATTTCACTTATTTCTACTATAATCATCGTTAGGAGCGTCGTAGTATAACCACAGTATTTTCAGCGTTTCATTGAGTTTTCAGGGAGATAAATGGCATTGAAATTGGAAGGTGATCCCCTGGGATCCCCTGGGGATCACACAAAATAGTGGAAATCTAATCAATCAAGCCAGTAACCTGGCATCCATTATGCGCAGGTATAAGGGTATGAGAACCTTCATAAGCAAGATAGAAAAGGAAGAAGTAAAATACGCAGAGTAGCGAGGTATGACGCATCCCCTCTCAGTTCCCCTCCCCTCCCCAGAGGGGTATGTACGTGCATACGGGCCTTAGTCAGAGGAAGATACATTCAGAAAACATCCATACTCCTGACTGGCATACTGGAAAGGTAGCTATGCCTTGGCAGAAGCAGTTGGAACTAGCTTATTAAATTTCGAATACAAAGTGAACGAGGTACCATTGAGAGAAAGGCATTGGTACGAGAATAGGTATGGAACCAAGCCGATAGCATCAATACAGGCTTCATGCAGAGTTAGACAGCCTTCAAAGCAGTAGAGAACTCCAGAATCGGTCGCTAATTACCCACTGAATAGCACTGGACAACAATATAAAGGAAAATGGCAACGTGCAAAGACAAGCAACTAGCTTTGACTTACGGAAGGCAGAATACGAAGATATGCAAGCTACAGGGTGTTAAGAAAATTTTAAAAAGTAGTGAGCAAAATGGGGCATCGTCGTTCTTCAATGCTCTTGATGTGAATTGTGCATAGCTACAGATGTCACTCAAAAGCAGGAGAATTTATCGGAAAAAAGTCGCTTGTGCTAGCGAAAATAAGCACGAAAGTGAAGGCATTCAAGGACAATAGCTTGAAGACATACACACTGATTATACTGTTTAAAAAAAAGGCAGACGTAGACCTAGCTGGTTTCGGGAAGGTCATGAACCTAAAGCAGATCTTCGAAAGACAATTCATAGGAAAGGTCTAAATTGTGGCAGTTAATACTATCATAGTTGCGCCACTTACGTAAACGGGGAGGGGAGGGGGGGGGGGGGAGAGAGAAAAGTGTACGCGAAAGCCATTTGTAGCTTCATATGTGAGCCTGCACAATGCGCGCGCAACCGATGACACCTTACTAGTAATTCGAAACTTTTTTTAGACTAAAAACTTCAAAATGTGTACTAATATCTAATACAGGGTTTGTCAAAAGTCTGAGAGCCGAGTGGCAAACAGCACTGTAAACTACTGATGATTCTTATCCGTTTTATGCCACATAATGCTGCGATCATCCTCTACAAAATATTAGGTTGTTGCACAAATAATGTCCGTTTTTCTAGACCTATAATTCAAACAACTTTTTTCCCATCAAACTTTTTTTTTCGATATAGCATCTGCATATCATTGGAAAGCTCTCTTCATGTACTTTCTCATGGCGGTGAAATTAATCTGATACCCTCACTTGTGAGAATTTCACCAGCATTTTCGACATCCGCACTTGAAATCGGAATCTCATAGCTTCCACTTCCTTGACCACAATTCAGGAGCAAATAAACGAATTCTTCTGAAAACATAGCAAGTGTATTGAATGAAGATTGTTTACCTATTGCATGCTTATGTAGATTTTTGGAGAAATGTGGACTGAGAAACTGACGCGTCAAAATAGACACTCGCTGCTGGCATACTATGGGTCAGAAATTTCTCATAATTAAGGCAATCGCCAAAGCTTCGCCCATTTCTGTCAGCTTGAAATTAGCACACCTTAACTACATTATTTGAAGAGAAACTTAGCTATTCAGTGCGCGAAGAATTCCAAATTTTCATAATTAGGCACTTACAAGCCTACAACAAATAGGCCCAAAAGAGTGAACATTTTTGAATTTTTCTTTTTTCTTTTCGCAGAACTCCTTCGTTGGAGTTTTCTCTATACACACCTATACTATTGGCCTGCGGCTACAAAATAAGCTAATTAGCAGACATAGGGACATAGCTTGAAGGGAGTTGTAAGCTCTTGGAGACGAGGTTTACAAGAGATAAACTTTCAGTTTTCTGACGCATGGTTTTCTTCCCGTTTGCGATATCAGTATGGGCAGGGACGCACTAAGTTAAGAAAGGTTTGATGTTTTTGAAGGTCTTGACTGCATTCAAAAATATGGAGACTGAACGAAGTTATAGCCTCCCAAAGTGAAAATTTGCAAAACGGACATTATTTCTGCAACAACCTAATACTTTTTACCCAGCGAAAAATGGCTGCCATATGATTTTGTAAAAACCGAAAAAATTAGTACTCTTGCAGAAGCGAGAAGAGAATTTCTAATATTTACAATTTACTTCGTAGCTAGAGATACTGAGCAGTTTCAGTACTTTTTAGAAAATGGTTTTCCGCTTTCCTTCGCGCATGTGTCAAAATTTCCATTGTGCGACGGGCACATGCCAGGCCTTCAACTCAAATCCCAGTACTTTTAATCCTAAACATTGCAAGAAATTTTCTTCGTAATATGCAGCCAAAACTTGCTTTGTTGTGCCGCAAAAGAATCAGTTACGTAAAAGCTTGGTACGAACTTCATTGCAACTATAGGGCCCTGCGTGATAGCGAGTCGGTGGGAGCTTGCGGTCATTGCATACGCATTGTCCTTTCCAAATGTCTTTCTTCTTCCGAACGGTCTGCTATCACACGTTAGTTTCCTTTTAAACACCTGAGACGATTTGAAAAGTATGGATTGTTTAATTGGTTTGAGGCCTTGTGGCATCTCGCGTGTGCAATGGTCGCAAACTCACCGACTCTGGCGATCACCAAACTTTGAGTTGTGCTGTATTTCTAACACTTCGAAGAATGTGTGTACCAAATTTCCTGTTTCTACGTATTTCCCTTTCTAGTTTTATCCGAAGAAGTACTAGTTTCCCAGACCTTTGACGCACCCTGACAATTAAACCGAAGAGAGAAGAAAATAAGAAGAGTTTCCCGAAAGTGAACATGCTCTGAGCTTACAAGTCGTGAAGTAGCGCGCATGCGCAGTACGCACTATCACACCATTGTCACTATTTCTAGCGCTGCCATCCAAGAAATCCAGAGGTGTGCTAATATCATCCCTCTGAATGTTTTCCATCGAACCACAACGGATACAACCATCGGGAATATTCGTATTCCTAATGACACTCAAGTTATTGGACACATCAACCACGTCTTGGCTCGATCACCCGTTTTTAAAAATCCGAGGGAGTTTAGGCCAGAAAGATTTCTTATGGATGATGGCGTCACTCCCAACAAAGTAAGTCACTTCCATAAAGATTATAAGAAATTGTTCGAGAACGTTGTTCCAGGAAGCGGTAGAACAACTCTGTCCCTTCTCAGTTGGCAAGCGACAATGTGCAGGAGAGGCTCTAGCTAGAGTGGAGCTATTCATAGGCCTCGTAACACTGCTCCAAAACTACAAGGTCAGACTTCCCATTACTTCAACGAGCATAAACTAAACCCGTTTTCATTTCAGATAGAACCCGCAAAAGGGCATGAGGTAGACCTCGAGCCGATTTTCGCTGCAGTTCTGCTACCAAAGCCACAACCTCTTCACCTCATTCCACTGTCGTCTCAGTAGAAACACATCTGCTTTGCAATAAATTTCTTTAACCATTTTTGGAGCACGGCTAAAGTGCTAATAAGCATGATTCAAATTAAAACACGTAAAGATTCTGCATGACGAAGGCTCAGAAGCAGTAAGTATTGGTTGAGCGAGCGCGAACGCGACGCGCACGTATCTTCAGCGTTGTAATATCTGCTCCATGACAAAGGCGGTCGCCCAAATAGGTTGAAAGCATACAAGGCTAACGCGCACGCGGCGCGCGGGCAATTGTCAACCACGGATCGACGCTCCCATGAGCGACCGCTGACCGAGCGTGCGCGCGCCCTGTGGTTGACAATTGCCCCGCGCTGCAGCCTCGCATGCTTTCAACCTATTTGTGCGACCGCCTTCGTTTTGGAGCAGATATTAGATTCTGCGCCTCATGCGCTCTGCGGCTAATGAAGCAGCGTTCGCGCCCAAAGATATTGCGTCTTCGTCATGCAACAGCCTATAGAATAGCATTCTCACGTATAGTCCTCATAGATTATGTAGATGGCATTCGCATAAATAATAATTTGATACATTTGTCACTCAAAATTTTGCTGCGAATACAAGATATTGGAAATTAAAAATGAGACCATTTGATTCACGCAATAAAATTTTAAAATTTATATGCATGCATCTTCGGCGCTATTCGGCTATCCGGGCCCCAAAATTTTTTAGTCATGGATTTGGCTGAAACTTGGGCCAGGGGGGGGTTATCTGACATGCTGATCACGAATATCACATTTTCTCCCCAGGAAAACGCCTCCCTGTGGGGTTACGGTAGGTATACGGTAAGGGGTCAAAATCGTAGATTTCGCTGAAACTTGGCTCGGGGGGTTGCCTGACACGCTAACCACGAATATCACGTTTTTTACGCGTGAGGACGCCTTCCTGTGCGGTTACGGTGGGTATACGGTAGGGGGCCAAAACCAGGTTTTGCTGAAACTTGGCCTAGGGGGGTTATTCGGCCCGCTGATGCCAAATGTCACATTGGTTCTGAACCGTAGCGTCATTTTCTCGAGTTACGGTAGTTACACGGTAACGGGTGCAAAACACAGTTCTGCCTGAAACGCGTGTACGGCCATTCGGACAATCGTGAAGCTTTGCACACCCGACCACCGCCGCGCGCTACACACCCTGCCGCGGCTTTTGCCTAAGCAAAGCGCAGGGAAAAGATACATTTGCCGATTTGTGGTTTTGACCCCTACCGTAACCATGCAGGGAGACGTTTTCGTGTGGAGAAAGTGTGACATTTCTAATCAGCATGTCGCATAACCCCTCTGTGCGAAGTTACAGCAGATTTTGAGATTTTGACCCCCTACCGTATACCCACCGTAACCCCAGAAAATGATGCTACGGTACAAAACCAATGTGATATCCAACATCAGTGGGCCGAATAACCCACCTACACCGATTTTGAGCGAAATCTACGATTTTGACCCCCTACGGTATAGCTACCGTAACCCTACAGGGAGGCGTTCCCCTGCGGAGAAAATGTGATACTCGTGGTCAGCATGGCAGATACCCCCCCCTGGGCCTAGTTTGAGCGAAATCCATGACTGAAAAATTTTGGGGCCCGGATAGCCGAATAGCGCCGCATCTTCTTCATTCCAGCAGTCCTTAAGTAATTGCACTAGTTTTTGAAAACGCTTCTTTCCTATAGGTAGGGGAACCAACTATGCCATTTCGGTCTGCCTAAGCGGATTCGTGGTTCACAAATAAGATACAACAACATCGCGATAAGACCAGTAGCCTGCGGAGGCGGTTTAAAATAATGGAATTCGTCCCCCTACACTTTTTCGACCCATGCTACCATAATTCTTTTTCCGTAGCTTCGCAAGATTCCTGTGATCATGATTTAGCGTTGCGAGCAACTCCTCGGAACACACTCGGAGCGCTGTATGCCATGTTGCCTGTCGCGCCTGTAGTCACCGCAGGACCACTCCGGCTGAAAGCGGCCAAATGGTGAGGCATATATAGCTGCACGTGGAAGCAACCCTCGCCTCTTTGACTTTCCTGTCATTAATTGCTCTCCCTTACCATACTTGGCTCGGTTTCCAGCTCCCGCAGGAGATTTACGAAGAGTGGTGAGCGTGGAGATGTTCTGTGTATTGGACGCGCAGTAGCGCGAGAATGGTTCCAGGTTTCTCGTAGTTGGTGCACATCAATGCAGGTGCGGAGCTGGGGAGTGCACCGTTTCAGTTGGACTGGGTTTCTAGCGGCTGACCTGAATTTAGAATTTTTTTTTGCACATGGACCTGTTTTGCATTCGCAGCACGGACGACGCGGCTCGTCCCGCTGTGTGCTGCCGGTGTAGTACAGGTTATCCTATTTGGGATCTTGTAGTTCAGTAGTTTAGTTAGTTCAGTCTAGGAGCGGTAATTACGAAATATGACGGAATACCTGTACTTTTCTAAAAATGCGCTGCTTTACAGTGAAAGTAGATTCCATAACTTTTCGATCTCTTTCCAAGATAAAAGAGAACAGTGCTCAAAAACTAAGGAGGCTGAGACGATCAAAAATCAGTGCAAAGTTTTTGAGCCCTTGAAAGGACATGAAAGGTTTTCATTCCAATTCGTAAGCTCGGTTTCTTGTGTCATGCTATATATCTATGACAAATCCGCAATGCATTGCTGACCGCGCCTAATCACTGCCCATCCAATCGTAAATGAGTTTATGTGGCGCTGGAGCGACATTCATCCCCTCTCACACTTCCTCTCCTTTCTCTTTTATCTCACTTACATTCACCATTGAACACTCGATAAAGATCTCTGAGCAATTGCGATCATTATCTTTAAAACAAGTGCAAAAATGAAAAAATTTGGCTGAGACCGTGGAGGACATCCCAAAAATTGCTTTTCTAGTCGCTGTCTTTCATGTCTTCCAGAATTATTTGAATAGATATACTAAATATAATACTCACTAAATATATTTCTATCGAATAGTGAGCACATTTATATCCTATAGTGGAACAAAAGACATATACAGTGCTGGCCAAAACTATAGATCCACTATAAAAAACTGCCGTAGTTCATCTGCTTTTTAACGAATTGATCTGAAATTTGGTACAGCTGTGTGTTCAACAGGCTTTCATCAGTGACCGGAGCGGATCCCGCTTTCGTTAGATTATTCAGGAGAAAAATCAAAAATTTCGAAAAAAGCAGGCTCGAAGGTTGGCCAAAACTATAGATCCACCTAAAATTTTTGTCCGCTAAAGTAATTCTCGACTTCCAAAGTCTTTTGTGCATATACATAGTCGAAAGTCAAAGCAGTGGCTTTAGTCCAGCTGCGACATACTTTAATAAGAAACGCTTATCTGCTCTTTTTACTTAAAAAATACTTTCACGCGTTTTTGTTCCCGAGAATGTGTTCTTATGGCTAATTTCGCAGTTTCTTGACTGGTTTGGAACCGATAGGTCTCCATCCATCTTATAGATGCTCAGCAGTGTGAGCAGTAAAAAAAAATTCGAGTTTTCGTATTCAAAGCGCACCCGACATAGACTTAGCCGCGGGCCTGCGCTCGAATTTTTGCCTTCAAAATTGGTGTACGCTATTTTTGCAAGCTCAAAATGATGTAGAAACATTATTTAGCATTATTTACACAAAAGAAGTTTGCAAGTCATAGTCACGATTGTTCGCGAAGTCGCATTTCAACACCTTTTCAAAGCATAAGTCTTGCGGTGTGTTCGGCAATTTCAAAGTACTTACTAAATGGTACCTTCCTTGAGTTTTGCCATTGTTTAGCTGCTAATTAGTGAATACACCCTCTACTGTATGTTGTCTTGTGACTCACATAAGCATTATGATCAGAACCAGAAATAACTTTGTGGCTTGTTGCAAATCACTTTTTTGCAGGATGAAGTCCTCAGTTAGCATGCATAATGGGATCTGCATAGACCTGCAACCACTGCATACGCACTCTAATACATACCAACAATGTCATTACTCCAGTTCACGCTCATGACAACAATCCAGAAAGAGTTTGAAGGGAAAAATTCGAGCGAAGGCCCGCGGCTAAGTCTATGTCGGGTGCGCTCTGAATACGAAAACTCGAATTTTTTTTTACTGCTCACACTGCTGAGCATCTATAAGATAGATGGAGACCTATCGCTTCCAAACCAGTCAAGAAACTGCGAAATTAGCCATAAAAACACATTCTTGGGAACAAAATACGCGTGAAAGTATTTTTTTAAGTAAAAAGAGCAGATAAGCGTTTCTTATTAAAGTATGTCGCAGCTGGACTAAAGCCACTGCTTTTACTTTCGACCACGTATATGCACAAAAGACTTTGGAAGTCGAGAATTACTTTAGCGGACAAAAATTTTAGGTGGATCTATAGTTTTGGCCAACCTTCGAGCCTGCTTTTTTCGAAATTTTTGATTTTTCTCCTGAATAATCTAACGAAAGCGGGATCCGCTCCGGCCACTGATGGAAGCCTGTTGAACACACAGCTGTACCAAATTTCAGATCAATTCGTTGAAAAGCAGATGAACTACGGCAGTTTTTTATAGTGGATCTATAGTTTTGGCCAGCACTGTATTTCTATCGAATAGTGAGCACATTTATATCCCATAGTGAAACAAAAGTTTTGTGATTTATATGACCAAAAAGACAAAAAAATCTGCTTCAAATAAATGAAAAGATGAAGCCTGTCACCTTTTCTCTTCTTATTCTTTGTGTTATAGAACAGCTGTTTTGTTGTCAATACACACATATCATCATGCAAACAATGCCAATGGACAACTGTTCCACTCTTCAATGATTTATTCCATTCTTTGTGCTTTGTGCGCATAAATTGCCAATTTGTGTACTAGTTCTTTGTTTCAGATATCTTGTGTAGATGCATGAGGTTGGCTATCAAATCTTGCCTCCAATTTTTTCTCCAGATTCATGATCTCATTTCATTATGACATTAGCTACAAAAGTGGGAAACATTTTTGGAACAAGTTTTTTATGATTCTAAGCTAAATTTGTGGACCAACAGAACGTTA